AGCTCGTACATTGTATATCAGATATATTGAAATTGAATAGTGGTTACTTTTATTTTAAATTAACAAATGTTAATAGTGTCCAAACTGAGACTCCTCAACTTTCCCGTCGTTTCACCGTGAAAAACTGCGATGTGCACAAGTAATTTCGGTTGTTAGGATGGACTCTGATCAGACATTTTGCGCAGTTTTTGAGCTGCTTCAAGTTCGGCAGCCGAATCGTTGTTATTTTCACCACTCGTACTATTCGGCGTTAGGGGCTCACTCAATGTACCAAATTCAACTGAGATCATTTGTGAAATTATTTTAACGCATGGTTTATCAAAGCATTTGGATTTATTTAAAATCTGATCATCACAAAAAGATTATGATTGTGTCAATCCTGATTTTAACACGAAAATAGCATGATACTTGACAAATAAACTATTAATTATTCTGAATATTTTTTTTTTATACATGACACGTTTATGTAGTGTATTGGCATGGTTGTGTGAACGTGTCAAAGTCATATCTTACATTCATCAGTTTCATTTAGACCATTTCGTTGAGAAAAATGTTTATCTGCGCACCTTGCAATTTTAGATATTGACCAACTACCGTCACATGTCGCAACTTGTTGATTGAAATGAACACATGCTTTTGTATTCATTATGACAGGTTTTAAATTATTGATACCACTCTGCCAACATGTTCTTACTAAGCATATAGAGTCGGCAGCCTATAGTGTGAAATAAAACAAAAATTAAATTAAAGCGGGAGGGTCGTCACCTGCGCACGCGCGGGAATTGAGTCCCAAGCGACGATAACAACACACGCTAAAAACGCAAAGGCTCTTGGGTAGAGGCTTGTTTGTGAACAATGACACGCTATGGCCATCCGACGCATGCACAGGTGACGACACCCCCGCTTTAATAATGAAATTGTGATTAACATAATACTACGAATCGTTATTTTAAAATTGTTAACTTGTTTCAAGTTGTTTTATATATTTATTACATTTTATTACAAGCTCAGATTTGATATCATCGTTTAGCCAGTAATGGCACTACACATATTTTGATTCTCACTAATAACAATGCAGGTGACATACTTTCTATTTAATATCTAAAATCTTTTCTATTTTTATAGCAGCACCTTCCCAAATAAAAAAAAAATGTAATATTTGAAAAAATAAGAGTTAGTCACTAAACCATGTACTTTCACACTCAAGCAAGAGAATAGACATGTTGGTGAACTAGCCTTGCACTGTGAGTGTTTTATTGTTTGCAGTCTTAAAAACACCAGTTTTTTCACAAATAAAAAAACTGAGAAAAAATGCAGACCTCACATCATTTTACTGTATTTTTGAGTGGGTCAGCAAAGTTTCCACATACAAAAATACACATACTATTTCTATTTAATTTATTTTATTTTATAGTTATCTTCATATTTTACAATCCATAGACTTATATTTGAATCTGTTCTTTCAAGACATTTTAAAAATGTATTTTCGAAGCATAACAAAAAAACGACTAGATTTGGTGTCCTAGTTTCCACCCAATTCATATTGGAATATTGCCAGCAATAATTAATAAATCTTGTTCAGCATACCATTTATTCCCGACATCATATTCAGTGGCTAGTTCTCAGGATCTACAACTTACAGTAATAAATAAACAGAAATCATATCAAATTTTGATTGGGACCATACTATTTCAAGCTGCAGGGTGTCTAAACAATTACCCGTCAACCAATCAACACATCTTCCACCCACCACAAAAATTGTATCCATAATTGCGCAAACATGAATTCCTCCACCCCTCCCAATACACCTTACACCATTAATCCTTCCTATACAAAAAGCTGAGCCAATAGATGCACGCGACTCATCAAAGTTTTGACCAAACACTCATTCTAATTATCGATGAGCGAGGGTGATATTTACTAATATAAAAGGATCTTTTAAAAGAATTAGAACTGGCATTACATAATATATCATTTTAGAAAAATGTAAAAAATAGCACTGTCCGCCTAATTTTTTTTTCAGGCACACTCTTGGAATAAGCAACGACCGAAACGTTTGTGTACAAAACGTCCGTTCATCATTTTAAGAAGGGGGATTTACGTAAAGGTAAATTCTATATGGCTTGTGATTTGGAGGAAAATATCGGTAAATTTTGAAGTTATGTCTGGTTTCGAGTTCAATATTTCCCCCTGGGCATTGTTTATACTGCAAGTAATATCACGAGTTAACAATATTATATATTCAGTGTGCAATACAACTTTAGGAAATACCATATTCAAAAATTGACCCCGGGTAAAATATGGTAATATTTAATTTTAAAACAGAACGACCGATGTGTTTTTTAGAGGGCGTATGTTTAAGCTAGTATCAGATGAAACACCGGAGCTGCTTACAACTTGACGAAGCCCATCCTACAAAAAGGCGACAATACTAGGTGCATTATAGCTGAATTACCATGTTCCGTTCCTGGATGCATAGTTCAGAAACCACGGAATGTATTGATCCCTTCGTCTAATGTGTTCAATAAACCAACATAGCGCCATCATAAATGCTTCTACTTTCGTCTTCAACTTCTAGTAATGATTTTACTCTCAAAATAACGTACTAGTAATTGAAAATACATGTATACAAATAAATTGTATGTGTATGTGTATGTTTAGTATTGTGTCAAAGGTCAATAAGTTGCAATCACTGTGATGTCCGGAAATCTCTCACCGCGATGTCACCTGATAAGATAAGATGCGATAAATCGACTATTTATTATACATGTAATAGAAATGGATTTGTGGCCAATATACATGGTATGCTAGACTGGCGCAGTCGCGGCGATTAATTTGTTTTTGTAGTTTAAATAAAATCAAAAAAAAAATCGCTAAATTGAGGTGTTAGCGCGAAATCCCCTGTAACTACGAAATCACCCCCGACTGGTTTTCAACGGGTAATTATGTTAATGAGTGTTCTAACTGACAATCATCTAAGCCAATCACAACGTCTCTTCAACTGACCTCTGATTGTAGCAGCTGATTTTTTTTTTTTTAATTCTACGACTATTACTTTTTTACACATTGTGATGAATTACAAACGACGACTACGACAAACTCGAATTTCAACGTGCCGTTGACCTCATTATGCACGTATTTCCTCACCCGCCTCATTATAATATGTGCATTCATGAATATTTAATAACAATGAATTTCCTGCAGAATACACCAGTCGATTTAGGCTAACACTTCCATTTCGCGACTATTTTTGTTATTTAATTTAAACTACAAAAACAAATTAATCGCCCGACTGCGTCAGTCTAATGGAATGCCTGGGCATGGCAACTTTATTACCCAACGTGCACGTATATTTCAGTGGATGGTTATATTTTAGATTCAGTGACGGCGGCACATTGTGGGGGAGTGGGGAGTCCCCCATTCGAAAAAAAAAATTGGGGGGAAGTCGCCCCTTCAAAAATCAAGCTGAAAGCCTTTGCGTCAAAAATGCAAGAAAAAGGCATTTCAAAGAGTCTAGATTTCAAAATTTTTAAGAGGGAGCATGCCACGGACCCCCTAGTAAGGTCACACTTTCGGCGCAAGGTTGGTGAGCAGATCTCGCCCCTCATGCAAAATTTCGTGCAACCGCCTCTGAGATCACACAAAATAGGCATATATACTACTGTTTAATACTTTATTTTAGCTGGAATTAATTTTCGCTGAAAAAAGTTTTTAAGTGTTTTGCATGGAATTTATTTTCACTGATTTTTGTTGAATGTAAAACATAGGAAGAAATGTATATTCGCTGGATTTTATTTTCACTGAATCATCCCTTCAGCGAAAATAGCGAAAATTAATTCCAAGCGAAAATAAAGTACTAGTATTCAACATTTAGTAAAACATAGTGCATTACACAATCTCGGATACGCCGTACGCCTCTATTAAACCGCCGTCAAATATTGTTAGTATATCCCATAATGCAGTGCGACAATGACATCACAGCAAATCTGCCTCCAATAATTGAACATTCTGAACTCTCTCCTGGAAAATGACCCGGGGGATCACTAGTAGAAACCACAGACGGGTTTTAAGGGTTCAATAAGTTATGTTTCAAAATGGGGAAGAGGTCCCTTTTTGACATTTTTAATAGTCAAAGGGGTACTTTTAGACATTTTCAGGACTCAAGAAGGTCGTACTTTTGCTGTATTGAAGTATTTATGTGATACGTGTCAATGACATGTCCATTTCACCATGACTTCTTCTACAGAAACATTGATTTTGGTGTTTTCATATGACGAATTTATCCAATTATAGCTATCCCATTCCTTTATTTTTTTTGGTTTCCAATAGCCTTACACATTTGGATGTCCCTACACATGTTAAAACAGACTTTGATGGGAAAACAAATTGGTTGTGCCGATAAACAAGCATGAAAATCTTTGCTGTTACTTCATGGACGTTTTCTAGGAGTTATGTTTTTCAAAATACAAGGTCTTTAACAAAAAATAACGTATACTTATTGTCGTCGGATTAACACCAAATTTTCACATCTTTAAGGTGACAGTGAGAGGAACTTGAATGTGTCCAGACAAACTATTTCATCGATTATTTACCAACGAGTTGTGGTTTGAGTTGGGGCAATGCGACTAAAACAGTAATTGAAATTCAGCACACTATTTTTTTAAAAACGCGTTGCTTGAATAAAACTGACTAGGCACATTCAATCTACCAGACTATTGAACAACTAGGAAAAGTGAAAAAAATACTTCTTATCGCCAGCATCAATGCGTAATTATTTTTTTACAGAAAAAGTAATTTTTACCTTTGATTGAGTAACGCGTCGTAGAATGCAGATACGGGCATGGCAAACACACCTTTGAAAAGCTTGAAGTCTGGCGATTCTAAAAATATATATTTTCTTGGGTCTATTTGTAGTCATTTAGTTACAATTAGAAGATGAAAACAAGTATGCAAAAAATAGTCCCGCTACCTTAAACCACCGTAAAAGGTGTGCTTTTATTGACAATTTGTTTCAAGGGGTGGATTTTTGAGGCATTTGGACACCCGAACCGTGATTTTCACCAAAAGTTGGTGCCTCACATAACCTTATGTGAATAATACAAGTGGACCACCCAACTAGTTTTGGTACTTTAACTGGAAGTAATAAAAGCTTGTTTGGTTTCAATTGTACTTTTGATATTTACTATGGCATAGCACATTTCAGTTGACCCTGTACTATTAAATGACTATGTACATTTCTACTTGAGTGGGTGCCGTGACATACAGAGATACCAGTATGCTAAATACTTATCAATGACATCAATGCCGAACTGACACATAGTGTCCCTCTATTGCTAGATAGACGCTGCTGAACTGACCTATAGTCACTCTATTGCTAGATAGACTCTGCTGAACTCACACATATTTCCTCTATTGCTAGATAGACGCTGATGAACTGACACATAGTTCCTCTATTGCTAGATAGACGCTGATGAACTGACACGTAGTCTCTCTATTGCTAGATAGACGCTGCTGAACTGACACATAACCCTCTATTGCTAGATAGACGCTGCTGAACTGACACATAGTCCCTCTATTGCTAGATAGACGCTGCTAAACTGACACATAGTCCCTCTATTGCTAGATAGACGCTGCTGAACTGACACATAGTCCCTCTATTGCTAGATAGACGCTGCTAAACTGACACATAGTCCCTCTATTGCTAGATAGACTCTGCTGAACTCACACATATTTCCTCTTGCTATATAGACGCTGCTCAACCGACACATAGTTGCCCTATTGCTAGATAGACGCTGCTGAACTGACACATAGTTTCTCTATTGCTAGATAGACGCTGATGAACTAACACGTAGTCTCTCTATTGCTAGATAGACGCTGCTGAACTGACACGTAGTCTCTCTATTGCTAGATAGACGCTGCTGAACTGACACATAGTTCCCCTATTGCTAGATAGACGCTGCTGATCTGACACATAGTTCCTCTATTGCTAGATAGACGCTGCTGAATTGACACATAGTCCCTCTCTTGCTAGATAGGCGCTGCTGAACTGACACATAGTCCCTCTATTGCTAGATAGACGCTGCTGAACTGACACGTAGTCTCTCTATTGCTAGATAGACGCTGCTGAACTGACACATAGTCCCTCTATTGCTAGATAGACGCTGCTGAACTGACACATAGTCTCTCTATTTCTAGATAGACGCTGCTGAACTGACACATAGTCTCTCTATTTCTAGATAGATGCTGCTGAACAGACACATAGTCCCTCTATTGCTAGATAGACGCTGCTGAACTGACACATAGTCCCTCTATTGCTAGATAGACGCTGCTAAACTGACACATAGTCCCTCTATTGCTAGATAGACTCTGCTGAACTCACACATATTTCCTCTTGCTATATAGACGCTGCTCAACCGACACATAGTTGCCCTATTGCTAGATAGACGCTGCTGAACTGACACATAGTTCCTCTATTGCTAGATAGACGCTGATGAACTAACACGTAGTCTCTCTATTGTTAGATAGACGCTGCTGAACTGACACGTAGTCTCTCTATTGCTAGATAGACGCTGCTGAACTGACACATAGTTCTTCTATTGCTAGATAGACGCTGCTGATCTGACACATAGTTCCTCTATTGCTAGATAGACGCTGCTGAATTGACACATAGTCCCTCTCTTGCTAGATAGGCGCTGCTGAACTGACACATAGTCCCTCTATTGCTAGATAGACGCTGCTGAACTGACACGTAGTCTCTCTATTGCTAGATAGACGCTGCTGAACTGACACATAGTTCCTCTATTGCTAGATAGACGCTGCTGATCTGACACATAGTTCCTCTATTGCTAGATAGACGCTGCTGAATTGACACATAGTCCCTCTCTTGCTAGATAGGCGCTGCTGAACTGACACATAGTCCCTCTATTGCTAGATAGACGCTGCTGAACTGACACATAGTCTCTCTATTTCTAGATAGACGCTGCTGAACTGACACATAGTCTCTCTATTTCTAGATAGACGCTGCTGAACAGACACATAGTCCCTCTATTGCTAGATAGACTCTGCTGAGCTGACACATAGTCCCTCTTTTGCTAGATAGACGCTGTTACTATGACAATTATTATGCTGCTCAAACATACCAATAACTAATCATGTTAGTGGAGTCGAGTGGCGGGTCATGGGGCAAAATGAAACATCTTGTGATGGAGCCGATGTCAATGACAGAGGTGTCGGAGGAATTTTTGCATGAGGTGGCGGGATCTGCTCACCAACCTTGCGCCGAATGTGCAACCTTACTAGGGGTCCGAGGGCATGCTCCTCCTTAAACAATTGAAATCTAGACTCTCTGAAATGCTTTTTCCTGTATTTTGAGGGGCAAATTTTGCTGATAAAAAAGTTGTCACCGCCTCCTCTGCTCCCCTCTGCCGCCGCCACTAAGTTTCATGTGAAATAAACGAAATCATACCTCGTTTGTCACTTTATGTTGGCAGTTGAAATCCTAATGATTGGTAGCTCATTTGGCGCACATTGATTTGCTAGATAGACGCTGATGAACTGACACGTAGTCTCTCTATTGCTAGATAGACGCTGCTGAACTGACACATAGCCCTCTATTGCTAGATAGACGCTGCTGAACTGACACATAGTCCCTCTATTGCTAGATAGACGCTGCTGAACTGACGCGTAGTCCTTCTATTGCTAGATAGACGCTGCTGAACTGACACATAGTCTCTCTATTTCTAGATAGACACTGCTGAACTGACACATAGTCCCTCTATTGCTAGATAGACATTGCTGAACTGACACATAGTCCCTCTATTGCTAGATAGACGCTGCTGAACTGACACATAGTCCCTCTATTGCTAGATAGACGCTGCTGAACTGACACATGTTCCCTATATTGCTAGATAGACACTGCTGAAGTGACACATAGTCCCTCCATTGCTAGATAGACACTGCTGAGGTGACACATAGTCCCTATATTGCTAGATAGACACTGCTGAGGTGACACATAGTCCCTATATTGCTAGATCGACACTGCTGAGGTGACACATAGTCCCTATATTGCTAGAAAGACGCTGATGACCTGGCACATAATCCCTCTATTGCTAGATAGACGCTGCTGAACTGACACGTAGTCTCTCTATTGCTAGATAGACGCTGCTGAACTGACACATAGTTCCTCTATTGCTAGATAGACGCTGCTGATCTGACACATAGTTCCTCTATTGCTAGATAGACACTGCTGAATTGACACATAGTCCCTCTCTTGCTAGATAGGCGCTGCTGAACTGACACATAGTCTCTCCATTGCTAGATAAACGCTGCTGAACTGACACATAGCAACTGACTTATATGGCAATTTAACTTCAATGATCCGTAACATAAGTTTTGTGACTATGTGGAATGTCTTTCTCGCCGCCTCACATACAAATACGCCATATAACTTGAGGGGTCAGCCATTAGTAAATGTATGCATGTACCTAGAACCATAGCGTGTTTGCTGAAGGGCTTCTCCATTATATAATGGCTTTAATACTCAGAAAGTTTTTCTAATGTACCAAACCCAAATGGAATCATAGGCAGTGGCGGATCCAGGGGGGGGGGCATCATGCATTACATTGTAAAACTGTTCTGGATCAAGGAGATGCTTGGCAATTATTGGCCTGTGTATTTTTTAAAGGGCGGTAGTCGTCGCTCCACGCATGCGCGATATATATGGGTCTCATCATATAAACAAAGATAGCGAATTTGAGTCACCGATGGTAATTAGTGCAAGTCGCGCCCAGCTCAAACCTCATACTTGTGATTTTCATTAGAAGAGCTCATTGGATTGTGGGAGAATCAATGTTTATCAAAACAAAAATGTCATACATGCGCAGCGCAACGACCACCGCCCTTTAATTATGTCTCATCCGGGCTCAGCATCAAAAGTTATCGTTTTGTACAAAGATACGGACGGCACTCAGTGTATTTATTGTTTTGTTTTTTTTCATTATTTTTAAAGTTTTCCATTACAGTCAGGTTACATGTAATGAGTATCATATTTGCCGTACTTTCATCCATTTATAACATCTGTGAATTTATTCCAGACATGCTCAGGCCCCATAAATCGCGACATATCACTCGGATCACTGACACGATAAAGTGCATGTTATGCGCATGAACAATTAAACATCAGCTGTTCATAGTACAATTTCTTTTGTATACTATCACTAATTAAAAATTGTTTCGGTATTGAACCATGATAATCATATGATCTGCACATCGCTCACATGCATTAACGGTATCTGTGCCGAAACATATTTCACCCCAGGACGATTTATCATTAATTTTTTGATGCGCGCGCATCATGGCCGGTATGTATTATGGAAATTATGCCATGTCAACATGGCGGACGTCGTCGAATATAAAGTCCGGTCGATGGAATACTGCGCATTCCGTCTAATCTCAGATGCATGATTACACTACCTATCTGTTATATCGCTTGAAACGTTGCTAGCAACCTGTGTGTGAATCGTCTGGATGAATTTACACTGTGTAGAACCACCCGGTTCAAATCTATCTATACACCATGCACCGAGTCCGTGCATACCCCGAGCGTCGATGCTGAGTTGCCTTGTTTTACAGGTCAGGCATAGAGTACGAGTTTCTTTAGACTTGTCCTAAACTTGGCAACGATTCCCGTGTATTTGTTGCAAAGGTCGGTTGCCGAGCTCAACTAATTGGCAGTTCAGACATGGGCAAAAACAGAGTTGGCAGAGACAGGACATCGGACAATGCGGTTACGGTTGTCTTTCCATGCGACTTGCCGATTTGGGATTCCCTCAAATACACCTATCAACGACTGAAACATGTGAACAATATCAACGAACTGTTAACAGTATTACATAAGATCTACACTTTAGTGACTTCATGCGCGCACAAATGCTTGACCCCCACCGAAGTGGACAACTTGACGTGTCAAGGTCGTCAACACCCGTTTGCTGGATTAGCAGAGTTTCTGATCGATGTGGCTTCGCAAGAAGAACAACATGTTTTCTTCACTAAGACCTTGCCATTCATCGCAGTGCTCGCTGAGGAAATTGAAAACAGAGTCCCCGTCGAAGGATTACAATACTCTGTTCGCCAGAAAGGTGAGACTAAATGTACAACAACAAAACAGACAGTATGATTGATTATTAGTTAGCTTAATTTTTCAGGAAATTTAATTAATTAAATTTACACCATAGCTTAAGGGTTGGTGTTGTTATGGGTAAACGATCCTTTAAGCGTTTTGTGGCATCAAATGTTTTATAATTTTATTTATTTGTTTTACAACTAAAAATCTTATAAATTTTATTATTGCAAAACTAGAGACAGTCACAGTATGGAACGAAAAATCGAAATAAAATAATTACAAAATTTTGGTTTTCCTGACTGTCAAAATATATGAATTGATAATTACTGCAACATCTTTAGAAGTACAGTTATATATAAACAAGAAATATTGTAATGTTTATGACATAGTACACTGGCGTCAACAATAAATAAATAACCATAAACTTATATACAAAGGTTTGTTGACTCAAGTGTACTAACGTAACTTAATTTAAGTTTTAAATATATAATTTATAGTATCGGTATTACTATAACGGTGGATACAGTGAAGTCAACATAAACATGTACATTATAAATTCTATAAACCTAAATATTTATAAACTCAAATGGCAGTAATGCATTGTATGAGCATACCTTGTAGCGTACAACGTAGGCAGTTTTGATTTCTGTATGATTGATGCGCAAACACTTTACGGAATTGAGGGAAGTGCCTTTCTCGGCAATTATCTTAGTAATCATCTTGTTTGGATTTAAATGGCATGTTTTCAGCTGAAACCAGTTTGGTTTATAAAAAGTGTATACCAGAAACTTGCACCTACTTAATAAACACATTTGTAAATATTTTTAAATACCTGCCCTCAGCTTTTTAAAAAATTCTCTTATGATTGGCTAAAAAGTTCAATATTATATGCTTTCATTCGTATCGGAATGTGACATAATTGACTGTGACTACCCACTTATTCAAATTTATGTGTTTGCTGATTGGACTACAATGTGATTATTATTAATTTATGCAAGTTTACTCAAAAAAACTGTTGCAAGATTGGTCAATTTGAATTCTAACAGCATTTTGAATTTATAATTACTGTAAAATACTTTATTTTAGCTGGAATTAATTTTCGCTGAAAAGACTTTTTGGATGTTTTGTATGGAATTTATTTTCACTGATTTTTGACGAGTCGAATGTAAAATACAGGGAAAAAGATATATTCGCTGAATTTTATTTTCACCAAATCATTCTTTCAGTAAAAATAGCTAAAATTAATTCCAAGCGAAAATAAAGTATTTTACAGTATAAAATATTTATAACGCTCACAGGTTTCTATGCTTCACTGTATAACCAAGGCCAATTAGTGTTTAAATAACTTAGAAAGCTTGTAAACATGCATTGTTTGCGACAGGAAGCTTATCACTCGTTATGTTAGAATCATCAACAACAGATAAACATTATGCAAATATCCACGAAACGGAAGTTGTAGTTATTTGTGTTAGCGTTTAAAACACTAGTTTGAGCAACGTCTATCCGAAAATTTGATTTTTTTTAAAAGCTGGGATGATGTATCAAGGTCTAAAGTAACCGTTTTATCAATTTTTGAAAAATCTAGAAAAAAAATTAAAACTTCCCTTCTCGCTACCTTAATACTGAAGAAATTAATTATTGAATAACCTAACATGTGAAACATGTTGGCGTTCAGTATGTGCACGTCTTTAAAAGCAAAGATGAGTAGTTTTTGTTTTGTCCCCAGTAGTTCTAGTTTGAGCATATACCCCATATTTCTTCACCGTTTGTTTGAATTAATGGTCAGCTGGTTTTTTGGTTTTCAGAAAATAGGCGATATTGAGCTTTGTATCAGACTTTTCTGCTTACCCTTGCTTCATTTGTCAGTGTCTTCATTATTATTACATTGATTGGTTAGCTTCAAAATTAAATCATATATTTGGTTGTTTTTTAAATTTCCTCATTTCCATGTTTAGTAAGTAATCAATTTAGTTTGAATTTGCATAAATATTTTAATTGTATGCATATAGTCTACATAGTGTCTGGGTGAAATGTAGAACTATCAAGGGTTACACTGTGTCACTCCCCTCTGTGGGTTACCATACATATGTTAATTCTTTACCGCTTTTACTCATATATATGTTATATACCTATTAAGCACAATGCGTCTTTGTACAATTTACTACCATAGTGTAGTGGGAGAGTCTAAGGTGTAAATCAATCCTGCGTTTGTCCTTGATTATCTTTGCAGTTGTGTTTACACCTTTCAATTGGAAAAATCGTTTACTAGATTTATATTTAAATTGGTAAACATTCATATTCTGGAGTAGTTTCGAGTGACAGTGTAATATTACGTAATCATGAACACGGCCAATCACTTCTTCAGAATCAGGAGGTGGTGTGTTATAATGCCGACACTGTCTTCTATATGTCAAGAAGTCATGTCATGTTCGAATGATGTATACAGGAAATTTGAAAACAGTCTGTGCGATGATTTAATTACCTTGATAAAATAAAAAAAGTTGATTAAGGAAGGATTTATCAAGATGAGCCCTTCTTATATGTGATGCGATATTACGTACATACCTGTACACTGTGGGTTTAATGTAAGCTAGCGTTATTACCCTGTGCAAGTTTATTTTATGTCAAACTCGCAATTCAATTTATTTGCCCACTGGGAAATCATGTAGCGAACACTGCTGGTCGTTTTGCATATAATCAATTGAAATACCACGAATAATTACGCAGGTAAAAGTAGCTGGGCTCCACGTTAAGAGCTCTGAGCTAGAATAAATATTACGATCAATAATCAGAACGAGAATAAAATGGGGAAAATAATAAGCGTATATATCGTGTTGCTCAGAATTTGGCGATTAGGAGAGATATTAGAGTCATTTGTTTACTGACTTATAATCTGTAATCTATATGGCTATAAAGGAAATATCGTGTAAAGTGATTTTATCACCATGGTGATATATTTTAAGAATAGTTAACCTCGTATGATCGGAATACTCTGATCGTTTTACTGCAGTGTTTTTCTCGACCATAAAACGCAGGATGGCTGAAAAACTGTATACCGGTACTATATATGCTACATGTATGGAGTAATTTGCAAACCATGATAACAATATATGAGTACAATCTTTCTTCCAAGGTGGTTTGAGTCAAACTAAAAATTATATGTCATACTTTCTAGACTTTCATTTTAATGGGTTTTGCAAAAATGAAAAAAAAAATTGGGGTCATCCAATAATTTTTCGAGATATAGCTCAAAAAACTTATGATCGAAGAATGGTCAAAATTGGCATATTTAACACTGGTTTCCATGGTGAGATTATTTTCTTCTCAAAATTTTGCTGGTGACATGGAATGAAAACTGGTATATTACGAGTGACACGAATCCTAATAATAAGAAAACATTTCAAAAAATTAACATATAATTTAGCGAGTTTCCATGGTGAACAGTTTTCCATTACATACAATTGGAAGTTATTCCCCATAATGCATTTTGTATATGTGCAGTAACATGCTCAGTTATGCAAAATTTGAGTTTGACTCAAACTGCCTTAAATACCCTTCTTTTATAACTCACTCTATGGCATTCATGTCCTTAATGTTGACTTTACAAATGGTTCTTCAGAACAAGAGCACTGTATTCAAGGATCTTTATCGTCAGACATATTTGTTCTCTCTCGGTTTTGAAATTCATATACATTTGTGTTAAAAATGGAAATACTTACGGTATTCCCAGTTTTTTATTACCGGTAACTGTACAATAATTACAAAAAAAGTCTGCTGTACAAGGGAATGCACATTATGTTTTTACAAAGTAGGCTGCATAGTGGTATCTGCTATCAAAGAATGCCATTGTGTAGAACACTAATACCCATGCAAGACTCTGCAGACTTAGGAGTATTCTTACATTGTCACAAAAGCTGAAATATATAATTTGGTGGTGGTGGTGGTGGTGGTGGTGGTGAGGAGGGAATCAGAATAATGAATTCATACCAATATTGTAGTTAATTCCTGGTCATAAAAAAACAAATGTGTTTATCATCTTTCTGTAAATACACATGTATGACTAAGTTAAAAACTATGTGCACAGTGTTGAAGTTAATTTTAGAAAATCCCTTGATATTTGGAAATAGTTTATTTACTAATGTATGCACATTAACGTTTCACACGCACATTGTATTTGATATTGGTCCAATATGATGTTATATACAACGTGACTGTGAAATACAATGTTTGTTGTATTCGCAAAATTTTAACACGTACTGCTAGACAATTTGTGGCACTTAAGTTCATGGGAACAAAAAAATCTCCAATTCTCTGCCAAACTTTTGTTAAAACAGAAAATAAAATGGATGAAAATATGGCAAAAATTTGTTGGTCAATATTTGCCTATATAAACAATATAATAAACAACTTTCTCTGATATTAATCATTCTTTAGTCTTTGTTGATTGTCTCGATTGATTACCTATAATATACAATCAATGTCACTTCACGGTTTGTTTTAGATAAACAGAATACATATATCTTCAGGGCTGTTAATACAGAACTGTATTATAGAACTGTAACATCGGCAAGCTACACAAACATTGCATGCAGCTTTCAGGTGGTCATGACAACGATACAGAAAATATGCTCAGTATTAGAAGGTTAAGTTTCAAAAATGTGTACAGATTGCACAGGCATAAGGGATCAACCATTTGAGATCATGAGGGGTGGCTGGAGGATTTGCTAAAAAAATTTGCATGCAAGTTTATGCAGGGGAAAAAAAATAAGATACCATAAAAAATAAAAAAAATTACGCGTGTCTCCCCCATTGCACAAATGAGCAGAGTGGATCTAAGCAAAATCACAAATTTGCGTGAATAAAACACATTAGACCTTCGTGTATAGCGATATATAGCGAATTATCAAGTATCACTTCATGCCTCTAATGGGTTTTAATGGCTGTTGACAAACTCATTAAACTTTAGTCTGTGTATGTCAAACTGCTACTAAGATTATAATTAATAACTTAATAATTATGGTCCAGTTATCATAAACAAACATTTTAAAACAAATATTGAAAACTATTTGTTTTATGTGAGAATTTAACGACTTTGACTTGTACCATTTGGCACAGGACCTACTTACTGTAGTTTTGACCCCTGACCCCTGACCCAGGCAAAGCTGTCTTGAATACATTATTGATGGCTATTATGTTGCATATTTAATCTGAATCATGAATATTCATAATTGTATTATTAATTTTAATATTTTGATAAAGACAAAATAATACGTTCATGCAATCCAGATTATATATATCATATGTCATCTTTTGTTATGCTATCATTATTATGGGTCAATGCTAGAAACAAAATTAGGGTCAAGGTCAGTTTTTCAAGAAACAAGAATTTGATAAGTCATAGAAAATGCTTAAAATTTGTATTTTTACATTTGTTTATATGGTTAACATTATTTTATATCTGAAAATGGGATGGAAAAATCCTGACATCGTAACGCATTTAAAACAAAAATTAATTTATTGAGTTTTCAGTGGGATAATAGTTTACATGTATAAACAATGATAAGTTCTCTCCCATAATGCATTTCGTATATAGGAAACATCACACTCTGTTACTCATGTTTAAATTTGGCTCAAACTGCCACAATGATGTTAATGAGAAATACAATTTTCTCAAAATTTTGCAATTTTATCATGACTCAAAAAATTGGGATGAATAAAAAATTGAGACATATAACTATGTCAGTCATCTTTAAACCAAATCGAAAAACCAAGAGATACGCCTTTTTTTTTTATTTTCAAATACATCAATTGCAATTCAGAAAGTGCTAATGCACATAATTTACGGATGAAGAATCGTGTTACAGACAAACTGTGCTGTCAGGTATTTACAATAGCCCCTTAATGTATGTGCTTGTACCGTTATGTTAGAAATGCACACACAGCACGTACCCTCTTAGCATGTACACTCTTAGCACGTACCCTCTTAGCCATGTTGTAATTACATGTACACTCAAGAGACTACCAACATTACAGTGTAACTTGTCTATCATGGCCACTATGGGAGTTATTTGTCTAATCGTTAATAGACAGGTATTCTTCTTGAGATGACACTGATTGCTTGTGACCTCCACATCTAGTGGAAAAGTTCACGTATTTGTTGCAGTTTAAATTATTCCAAACTGACCTCCATCCAGCTTCAATTACATTGACTCTATTCATTCCAGCAGTAGTAACACAACATTTTTTTTTTTTTTCTTTTTTAAACATTGATATGTTGGTAAATCTATGTATTTAGATACACTGGTCTAAATATTCCCAGTATATTTATGCTCAATTTGTGCTCAATGATGTTTTGTAAATGTCTGCGCTCATACTTATAATGTGACTGCATTGAATCCTCAGTATGGCCATCTTTTTTTACTTTCTGGCGAAATTCGCAAAAATCTGCGAAATTTACAATATGTACTTACTTGTACATGCTGACTAGGATGCCAAATCTCTTGTATTTTTATTTAAACAAGAATTCATTTTAATTACTGAAGACATACATTTTTGTAGATCTTTGAAATAAGAACAGTAAATCAGTTATAATGAATTATCATGTCAACATCTTTCACTGCTGAGGTGGGACAAATGTCATCCACAGTATCATTAATTACAGCTCTTCTCTTCACTTCACCTCTGTATTCAATTCAGTCATTCAGTAAATCAATCATATCACAATAAAAGAGATGATGCAAAACTGTGCACTAGACATGGAACATTACATAAAACACATAGATAACAGACATTACATCAAAATACTAGCACAATTTAGAACAAGTAGTCACAAACTAGCTATAGAAACAGGAAGGTACACAAAACCAAAAACACTGATAAAAGACAGATTATGCACCCACTGTAAAGAGATAGAAGATGAATTACATCATTTACTAGAATGTAAACTGTACACAGAACACAGAGATGACATATATAATATCCTTAAAGAAATTAACAGTGATTACCAAAACTTGAACAAAAAAGAACAATTTAAACTTGTACTACAGTCACCAAATACAAACCATCTTATCACTCTCTGCAAATATTTAGTTAAATCTAAACAAGACTAATTCTTTTATTTTGTCATGTTCTTTTATATTTTTTACATATTATATGCTACATACAGTGATACTTACATATCACAGTATTTTAATATTTCTTATATTATTAATAATTGTCTGTAGTATTTTTGTCGTTCACTAATTTTGAATTCTTTTTAAATCAATTTTTACATTTCATGTACTTTTATTATTTACTTTATTAATTTAATCTGAAAACCTAAAAGGAAATGTTAACTCTTTCTTTACGGTATTAATAAAGCATTATTTTTCTTCTATTCTATTATGTATTTAGGTGACTTTGTTAAAAAAACGTTAACAATGAAAATCAAAGAACGAAAAACATTCCCGCAGTGATTTGTAAAAATAAATTTTTAATAATGTGTGTATAGAAAATCAAATGATATACTAGTAGTTGTCGTTAACTGCTCAATAACACTCATCTGTGTTAATTAGTGACGTACATGTACTTCACTGTACACGTTTACCCATTATCGGCTTTTTCATTTCTAAATAAATATCAATCAAAATATGTTAGCAAAACATGATTTATTTTTGTACAGATGGAATTGAGAGGTTATGTATTTTGTTTGAAGTTATTTTACTGCTAAGGTCAAATAAAACTAGTTTGATGTTTCGAGTAAAAGTCTAAAACAGTACTAAGTTGGTGGTTAGCGATTTTTATTTAATTTCTGTATTTAAATTTTTCTAATGAGTCTCGTACATTTAAATGCTAGTCATTCACCGCATAAAAGGAAGTAAATAAATTCAACATTTTTTGCCTAAACTGAAGCTAAATTACACACCAAAAAATTCTACAAATAGTTCTACCATTGGGTTAATAGCAATAAATATTTACCGGTAACTAAACAAAATCCTGTTTTACCAGCCTTCAATAAATTCAGCAATTTGCAATTACTAGTTGAAGCCTATATATTAAAGTGAGTATATAAAATCAGAACGTCAACCACAGATCTTTGCACACATTGAATTGTTCATATTTTGGAGATTTATGTGTCGACATAATGATAATAGTATACTACTTTGTTTTCTCAAAGAATGAGAAATGTTAAAAGTTGTGGGTAATGACCTTTTAATTCAAACTATAATTTTGTCTTCAATGGAAAAACCTGTTGGGGGTGATAAGTTTATATTATTTTTCTGCATGGATTGGTGTACGTGTTACTGCTTACAAAGTAATGTCTGCTTCGCTGAATCCTGCTGGGATAGCAAGTTGTGATCACTTCTTAAAATAATTCTTTTGGGTCAAATGAACTTTTTAATAATCTACACATTCTATCCTAGTAATAAGGCTTCATTGATTTCTTTCTTTTCAATTGTTTGTTACGTTTCCCTCTCTGTATAGGATCCCATGCCTCATTGGACAGGAAACTAATCGCATCTATACTGGCATCCGCCTTTTTATGTACATTCCCTGAAAAAGAAAGAAAAGGCCGAAACTTGAATAAGATCAATTTCACATCATTTTTTGTCCATATTCAAAGGTAAGTTTCAAAGATGTTTTTTTATTATTTGTCATTGACTTCCTCTTAGAAGGACCAACTACTGACATATTTATTACTGGTATATGTTCATGGTCATGAGCTTATGAGGTTCTTTCTTACTGACTGACACTGACATTTAATTAGAACAGCTGGCTACTCTACAGTTGATATGAAAGATATGTTCCCTGTCACAGTGGGGTACATCTATTCAAAGTTTATGATTAGATATGTTAGTGGAACGAAAGTAGCATTCAGTCAAGTCCTTAACAATGAATTTACAATATTACTGATATTGTTCGTAGCATAATTTACAGGGGTGAATTTATCCTGAACAGAAGAGATGGCGCCCTCTATGAAAGTTTCAGCGCCCTCTTGTGGTGCAAAATTGTATGAATTCGGGTGTCAAAAATGAATAATAGAAGTCAACATATTCATGATTAAAATTCACCAAATAATACCTTTATTTCATTTCTGTATTATCATAAAACACCCAGGCATAAATGCCTTGTATTATATCCAGTGAGCAGTTGCTGGTAAAAAGACAGTGCAATGGATAAAATTATGTTTTTTAAGTTGTTTTTTTTCCATATATAGAACACATTGATTTCTAGCATTTATATGTTCATGCGTTCAAAAAAAAAAAATCCAAAGTTCAACATCTCAAATGCTGGGTTTTTCTCATATTCACAATTTTTCTATAAACACGCATGCCGAATAAAACTGAAGGTTAGAGGTGAGAGTTGGGGGTTGGGGTGTTAAATGCAGATTTGTGTATAATGTAGTAGCGGCTATACATATCTTGAATCATTTACTAGTAAATGCTACTGTATTTTAAGCATTCTAAGTCGTCAATTCCCTGAGGTAGCATGTGCAAAGCATGTCACATATATCATCATGTCTGCTGTGTTTTCTTTATGTCTAAGTCTAATGAAATAAATCTTTGTGAGAATATATAATATTTATATGAATGGTTGCTGTTCAGTGTCTGTTTATTGGAAACCAACTAAATTATCTTTGGCTGCATGGATTTGCTTTCAATTAATTTCTTATTAACCAGAAAAAGTTGTTTCTCCGCAACAGTCAGTGAGGGATCTTTTGATGATTTGAAACTTATTAAATGACCTCCGCTAGCTACGTGTAAACCTAGAAACGTGCACCGACAGTATGTTCAAAACATGTATCTTATTGGCTCTATTAGAAGTGCATGTTTTCGTAAATGCACTGCTAAAAAGTGTGGTAATAATAATTAGTATTCAAAATCCTCCAACACCAGCATTTTATGCGCCTCTATTCGGAGATACATGTATGCTTTCAATAGAGAAAATATTAAGTATGATTCTAATATATTTTTTAAAATTAAAAATTGTGTATTACTTGTAATAATAGTTATTGATTTTTTGCCCATCAGCGCACCAAGACGTTCTAGCCAGAGTGCTAAGTTGCGGTGTATACTTCACTATTTCACACGACTATCAGAAAGCAGCGCAGACTCTCCTTATGGATATGTTTCATTTATCCGAGAGGTACGTATATACACACATACCGTGAATCGATTAAGTCCTATATATTGGATTTCATTAAATAGGCCAGCAGTCAAGAGTTTGTACGTCATGAAGTATCATGCTAGTCATGTTGATTGTGAATTCTCATGGCGCAGCGCTGAGATATTAATTACCATTTGTGTCGTCATGGTTCGTTGCCTATGACATGCATCTGTATTTAGGATTAATTAATGTGTGAACCTATAGTACTCTTGTCAGAGTGGTAATTATTCATGGACATAACTCCTGTATAAATTGATATCCTCAGTAATAATGTAGGGACAGTCTTTTAGATGTTTGTGTCTCTCGTTATCTGTGCCATCTGTGTATAGTTGGGATAATCTCATGTACAATCCAATTGGATCTCAAACTTTTGAGATTGTGTTGATTTTGAACCATACTTTATCTGTTGTTGGTTGTGCGCACCCCTGATTGCTTTCTCAGGAGATATAATTAGTATTTACTGTTATTAACTGCTATATTTGCTACTCGCTGTTGCCATAGAAACACAATTTTTCCTCAATGCATATCATTGTAAATATAAAAGGTCAAGGTGTGTGAAGGGAAAATGTCTGTCCTTGTTGTTGTTGTTGTCATTGTTAACTCTGTCAGTTTTTTCTTATGGTCAAAATAACCCCAACAGTTTTTAGCTCCTCTGTCATTGAAGATGTTGGTAAAGGTGATTGTTGTTGTCCTGCAACCAGCACCAACTTATTATTCAAACAAAAATCTTCTTAAAAGTTATTACCTCTATTGCTTTTATACTTGGTACATATGTACCTCTATATTTGAACATTTCCTGGCAATATATATATTTTCTCTTTTATTAATATTTTTGTTCAAAAATGTTATTTTCAACTTCTTGAGAGCTAGTACTCTGATTGGTTTGGTACTTGGTATCTATGCATCTTTGGTGGATCTCTATTAGATTCAAACATTCATGACAATATCTTGAATTCTCCCACTTTTGTGAATCTTTTTGTCATTTTTGATGAAAATGCTATTTTTGGCTTTTTCTTGGTATACATGTATGTGTACTTTGGGTGGACCTCTATTAGATTTGAATATTTTGTAATTTCACCAAATATTTTTGTCATTTTTATTTCAAAAATGCTATTTGACTACTACTCGACTGCTTGTTTACATGTACTTATTATTGCTAAACTGGGAATCTTATCAACTGCTTCAAAATGACAACCAAGTTAAATTTTTTACCAAACAAGTGCAATTGTCAAGATATGAGGTAAAATTTAGCTGAAATAAAACTTACTTAAAATTACTTAAGTGGACTGAATGAAGACATTCGACTGCTGATAATAAGAACCAGATGTTAGTAATATGCTCTCCAAGGTCTGTCAATTAGATAAGTGTAGTGTAAATCAAAAAAGTGACAACTGTGGTTTTCTCATCTTTTTCAAATTGGACTAGTATTTTATTTGCTTATATATTACTGCACTATTATTTAGGAACCTTATACAATTTATGTTATATTAATCTATAGGGACATTGAGATTAATACAGTATGTGTATTATTAATTGAGAAACATACTATTTTTATTGCCAAATTTTGCTTAGATGTGTTGCTGTACAATTATTTGTTAGAAACTTTTATACAATAAGGGACATTGAGATTAATATAGTGCATGTAGTATTATTTGAGGAATATTAATATTAATTTAATTTGTTGAAGCAATTTTCGTCAGAATAGTTCACACTGAGCAAATATTTTTTGTGCAAAATGTTTAGATATACTCATTTTTGCTATGCAAAAAAAAAAAAAGATTGCGCACCAATATTTTGTATCCATCCATCCATGAGTTATTCAATCCAGATTTTCTGTAGGCAAGGTTGTAATAGTTTCGCTATGTTAGTTATTAATTATTACTATAATATTATATAGGTTAAAAAGAAAGAGACACTACCATGCTTAAGTGACTGGTTGAATTGTGGTACAGTAATGTGTTCACTATCAATACACAAGAATGGGGTGATTGAAGACTCAGGATGTCACACATTGCAGGTAACGCCATTTTGTTTTTGTATCTAATAATTCTATAATTTCTATGTCATGGTATATCCCAGAATTAAATAAACATTGTGCTCAGCAGGAAAAAAAATTCTGCCCCCCTTCTTCTTCTTCTTACAGGCGAAGTTTACTGACCAATACTATGACCTTTTGACCCATTTGGCTGTTTATCATTTTATAGTACTGCTGTGTATGTTTTTAAAAATACATCAGTATAAAATGAGCTTGTTGTTGAAGACTATTTATCAAAATTTGTATAAAAACTAACAACAGTTCACATGGACAATGAACATTTGTATATTATTTGTAGACAAATAGAGGTGTTTTTGAGTAAGGGAAATGACATCATAGTTTTTGTGGTAATATTTTGATAGCCATGTCTAGGTGTAAAAATATCTTGAATCCAGAATATATTGTTTGTCAAATTTTTTTTGGGATATAAGAAACTGGTGAGGATCTTGAAAACATGGGATACTAGTATCAGCAATTTTAGTTTGGGTTGATGGGTACCGGCACGCTTTGATACTTTTCAGTATGTCATGACGTATTTTGTATGATAAACTGATATGACTTGTATTGTAATGGTTAGCGTGTCTGCCCAACACAAGGGACACTCCGTACCGAATACAATCTGGACAATTGCTAGGCTGCAGCGTTACTAGTTGAAAGCATGGCGTACAGTCAGAGGGGAAGTAACGTTATCAGCTGTGTGCATTTCCTGTCATCAGTGTACATATCTTTGTTATTGTAGCAGAATATCCTGGACAGCTGGAACTCTTTGCGTTGCTAAAGCTGAATAAATGCATGTAAATAAAATAAATGTAAAAGACATCACGATACTGTATTCAAATGATGTGGGGCAGTGAAATATGGAGGTTGGTCATTTCTAATTATAACGGGCATGCATTAAAAGGAAGAAGTCTGATGACTTCCTGCTCTATATCAGTGATTAATGATGTAATAAAACTCATCAACTTCATCAGTTTGATAAATTACCATACAATGTACCAACCAAAATGGACTTTGTTATTGCATTTGTAGTGAAACATCAAAATAAAAATCATGTTTCAGATTTTGCAAACCCTTTTTTATAACTTCTTTAATCTTTAAATTGTAATTATTTTTTACATTGAATTCCAATTTAAAATATCTCCGTATTCTTTGCTAGGTGAATTTCGCTAACATTCAGATTGGTGGAGGCACCCTTGGGCACGGCAGAGTACAGGAAGAAATCCGTTTTTGTATCTGTCCCGAACTGATTGCATCAATGTTATTCATGGAACAAATGGATGAGAATGAAGCAATAATGATGTCCGGCTTTGAGCAGTTCTCACAATATTCAGGTTACGCATCCACGCTACAGTTTGCGGGAGATTATCGGGACAATGCTAAGGTCTGTGGGATGTATTTCAGTATGTCATGTCTGTGTGTCACAATATGCACTTATATAACTATGTCTTCTGTAAGCGTATACATGTCAACTTTTCAAAAACTAAAGTGAAGATCTGCCTATGAATCTTTTAAGTATTTGTCACCAATATGTCAACATATTTTTTTCACTGTAAATCTGTTTTATGAGAAATACTGTTAAATAATACACCTGAAATGTTATATAGTGATAACAAGTTTTGTCAAAATACCCCTAAAATAAATATATTGTTTAATACATGAACTAAAATCTCAAAGAACATAATATATATTTTTTCAACATGTGTCAGCAAGCAAAATTGTGTGACAGTGAGATATGTCCTTGCCATAATGGTAACATGTCTTAACAGAGACAAAACATGTTATTTTAACTCTATATCACACACCAATTTACATGTATGGTGACCCAATATTTTATTAGTCCCCGTTCGGATGCACATCATTTTGTTTTACGATCTGATTCTAAGATGGCCGAATGGCGGCCATTTTTGTGCTAAAAAATCATCAAAATCAAGTATTTCTCGGCTGTTTACAGATGGATTATGTTCAAACTTGGTATATGCATTAGACATTAAGGGACCTTGAGGCAAATAATTTTGTTTTTCAGATAACATTCAAAATGGCCGACTGGTGGCCATTTTGTATTAATCAATGTGGTTCTCGTGCCATATCTCCGACTTGTTTTGACTGATTATGTTCAAATTTTAAATATTCTTTATACATCATGTCATAGATAGACAGATATATTGGTTTGATGATCCTATTCAAAATGGCCGAATGGTTGTCATTTTTGTACTAAAAAATCATCAAATATTAATAGCATTTCTGGCATTCATGGATGGATTTCGTTCAAACTTGGTACATACATTACACATTACGGGTTCCTGATGCACGTCATTTTATTTTTTCAGATCAGATTCAAAATGGCTGTCTGGCGGCAATTTTGTTTTAATGAATGGGTTTCCAGACCCATATGTCTGACTTGTTTTGACTGATTATGTTCAAATTTTTAATATTCATTATACATCATGTCACGGATATATTGGTTTGACAATTCTTTTCAAAGTGTGCTATTTTTGTGCTAAAAAAATCTTCGAATATAAAGCCTTTCTTGCATTTATGGATGGATTATAAACACACATTAGACATTACAGGTTCCTGATGCATGTCATTTTATTTTTCAGATTGGATTCAAAATGACTGACTGGCGGCCATTTTGTTTTAATGATTGGGCTTCTAGAGCTATATCTCTTAAATGCTTTGACTGATTATATTCAAATTTTATATATTCGTTATACATCATGTTATATATATATATATACATGTATTCAAAATGGCTGATTTTGAATGCTGTTCTAGAGCAATATTTCTCAATATGAACAAGTACTTGTTTGACGATCAGATACAAATGTCAATCATTTTAATGTTAAAAAAATCATATTCCTGACATGGTTATATTCCAGCTATATTACTATAAACATAACTATATATCTTAAATTTGATAACTAACGGGGACTGTGCCATGCATGGCTTGTTTATTTTTCCCTTCTTCTTGTTATAAAATGTTTTATGTAAAGATGAAGAACATTATTTATTAAGTAGCTAATTTGCATATTGTCTGATTTCAGTTTGTGTAAGCGAAATAACGGAAACTTTAATCAAATTTTCTTTTTTATTGATATCTTCGATTTATGCACAGACGTAGATTATTTTTGAGCATATGATTTATGAATTTGCTAATTTTTCAGACAAATTAGGTATTAACTCCTGTTAATGAATTTCAATCAACTGGGGGTGCCGTGAAATCAGCAGATGTAAAGTATTCAACAGAATTCTGTTTTCTATTCTACAATCAGTAACACATTCTCTTGCATTGTATGCAAATGAACAATTACATGCCCAATGATCTCGCTTACCCCAAAACATGCATATATTATGCATCAAAATC